ATAGTTCTGGCGCGAATCCTTGACTGGATTCGGAGGAGAATTAGTTAAGATGTACGTAAGTTGACCCAAAAATTCTTGACCGCAATACCCCAAAAAAAAAAAAAGGACATTTATAGTAGAAAATTTATTGACAACTAAATCTTGTGGAAACTCAAACATAGTGCAAAAAAATAAAGACAATAATACCGAAATATTTCTGTAATATCCCTATTATAGAATGTCATATTGGTGAGATATTGTGTGATTACATCTAGATTTTGTGGAAACTTAAAACATATTGTCAAAATAAAGACAAATGATTCCTCAATATGTCTGTAATCTGTAATATTGCTATTATATTGAATGCAATAATGGTGAAATATTTTGTGATTATGCCAAAATCTCTGTAATATTGTTTTTATAGAATGCAATAATGGTGAAATATTATGTGCTATTCCCTATTGAGTTTCTTTACTCACTTCACCTGCCTATAAATTTGGGTTTGTGACATTCATTGTGTGCATTGTACAGCACAAGAAGAAAAAGATGGTGCTTGCTGAAACCAAGTTCTTTTTCTGTTTGACTCATTTTCAAAGTTTTCAAGTGCAAAGAGTTGTGCTTGGAGGTTGATAGGATGATCGTTGTTCTTGGCATTTCGGTCGAAAGTTGTGTGTGCAAGGTGGGATTGATCTAATAATGTTCAATCATCAGAAGTTTCAAGTTCTTCTGGTGGAAACTTTACACCCCACGTGATGTCCAGTTAATGCTGGAGAGGATGTACGATGAAAATTAGTTCATCCTCTCAAGAGGGGTCTCGAGCTATTTGCATAATTTATATTGCCGGCATAATTTCAAAAGTAAAATAGTTGAAGCCCCATGAGGAGAAGCCCGAGCATAAACTGGCAAATGAGGACAGTAGCACTAGATCATGGTGCTATCCCTATTTTTTTAACAACCTTACACGCAATTTTTGAAGTTTATTATGATTATATTGTAAGTTTTATTTTATTCACTGGCTCTGTTGTTTGCGTAAAAACGTAATTGATGTGTACAAAAACATATTTTGAGAATTGAAATATTAGAAGCCCAAGAAGCAGAAATTTTAGAATAAATTGGCAAGTTGTGACAGCTGCACAATATCATGGTACCTCACCGATTCAACAATAATCCTAATGTACCTTTTGAAATTTATTGTAGCTTTTTATCTTATTTGCTAATATGTCAATGCTTATATAAAAACGGGGTTAAAATTCACGTTTTCAAAATAAGCACAACTTAGTACACCTTTTTATACTGGAAAGCATGAATTTAAACCATCGTAACGAATGGTAAATTAATAAGTAATAGAAAAATGACAGATTCTTGATATCCCTCTTCCAAACACAGCATCAATAGAGCAAGCGTTAGATAAATTTGCAAAAAGAGGAATCAAAACCTTTGATAATTGCAGCAAGAGAGTGACCCTAACCAAAGATGGGATTAATGCTTGCTGAGGCTACCAAGTACCAACCCTCATTGCTTCTTGTAATTAGCCTCTAGTGCAATCTCACTTAAGAAACTCAATTTCCTCTTCTAATGACATCTATAAAGAACTTTTTTTATGACTTGCACCCGCTAATTACAAATATTGGTTTGAGTTACTAGCCAAAGCGGAACGCAGAACTTGCAAGTTTACTGTTCGTTCCGAGGCCAAACAACACAATTGGACTACCTGGGCAGGTTATATAAACATTAACTGTTGCTGGCCTTGTCCGGTGATACTGCGCTGGGCAATGGGCATGAATTAACAATGCTATTAAACCAATCGTTTCGTTGGGGTTTCTTTATGTCATGTAAAAGAAAGTCCATTTCCACCCAGATGAAAACACGGCTTCCTAAACCAGAGGATAGCAGCATTGGAAAGATTTCTCTCTCTGATGTTAAGTTACTGAACTACAGGTGAAGCCAAAGTACTTCCAGCACAGTTTTTTCATCTTGTGTTTCTTCTGCTGTTTAGGAAAAGGAGAGTGTAACGGTGGAAATGACAGTAAATGCTCACCTGAAGTGACCTCACCGTACTCGTGGAAATAAATCAATTTAACAGTTACCCAAGTACATGGGGACAGAAGGCTATGGCTTAACTGGTACGTGTTTGTTCTCTCTCTCTCTTTCTCTTTCTCTCCCTCCCTCTCCCACACCTCTCTCTCTCTCTTTGAGAAATGGTATTATCTTGTAGTTGCTTCGTATAATTTGTGTGGGTATGAGGTTTATTGATGGTATGTGTCGAGGTTGGGGTAGAACCAGAAAATTGTGTCAGGGTAAACACGAATATTTTAATAAATTATTATTTTTTTCTTACAATTGATAGAAATAGTACAATAATTTATTTAATTACATCCTAGTATATACAAACGATAACATTTTTTTTTACAAAATATTAACTAATTAAAATCATTTAGAATTGACTTTGGTAAATTTTCGTACTCTTAAAATATTGCATAACAACTTTATTATTCTTTAGATACATAATCATATTATCACTTTACTATTTATAAATCATTTGATCGATTATGCAGTTTAATGTGCACTCTATAATTTTTACCATAATTAGCAAAAATAAATGTCAAAATCACAAGTAAACTAGCGACTATGTATATCATGTTTTTTTAGGCTTAGAAAATATAAAATAATTATAGTATATTCAAAATTTATTTAGATAGGTACATAACCAACCCAAAATGTGTCAAAAAATTCATATTTATTTGATATAAATGTACACTAATTGAAGTGCCAAAAAAATAGGGAGGACATAATTAAAATTATTCATTTAATATAAGTGTAAGATAATATTTTTGTCTTTGATTTTGGGTGGACACAAATAATATATTATACAAATATACAATATACATACCTAAAGAATAATTAAAAAAAAATTGAGGGGGGGCACTTGCTCACCTTGGAACAGGGCTACCTCCACCCTTATGTCGAGGTTTCCGTAAATTGGTCCAGATACTCCATAACTACAATACCCAAAAAAAAATATATTTATAGTAGATAATTTATTGGCAGCTAGGTTTGGTGGAAACTCAAACATAGTGCAAAAAAATGAAGACAGTGATGCCAAAATATTTATGTAATATCACTATTATAGAATGTCATAATGGTGAGATATTGTGTGATTATACCTAGATTTTGTGGAAACCTAAAACATATTGCCAAAATACAGACAAATGATTCCTCAATATATCTGTAATCTATAATATTACTATTATATAGAATGCAATAATGGTGAAATATATATATATATTATATAGAATGTATTGATGGCAAAATATTTTGCTGGTCACTATTGAGTCTCCTTACGCACTTTACATGCCTATAAATTTGGGTTGTGACATTCATTGTGTGCATAGTACAGCACAAGACGAAAAAGAATGATGCTTGCTGAAACCAAGTTCTTTGTCTGCTTGACTCATTTTCAAAGTTTTCCAGTGCAAAGAAATGTGCTTGGAGGCTGATAGGATGGGCGATGTTCTTGGCATTTCAATCAAAAGTTGTGTAGGCAAGTTAGGGTTGATCGAATAATGTTCAATCATCAAAAGTCGCAAGTTCTTCTAGTGAAAATTTTACACCCCACATGATGCCTAGTTGATTCTGGAGAGGATGTACAATGAATATTAGTTCATACTCTTAACAAGGGTCTCGAGCCATTTGCATAATTTCTGTTATCGGCATAATTTCAGAAGTGAAATAATTGAAGCCCTAGAGGACGAAGCCTGAGCATAAACTAGCAAGTGAGAACAGTAACACTAGATCATGGTGCTATCCCTATTTGTTTAACAATCAACTTTTGAAGTTCATTATGACTGTATTGTAGTTTTTATCTTATTCACTAGTTCTGTTGTTTGTGTAAAAACTTGATTGATGTCTACATTTTTCAATGTAAAAACATATTCTGAGAATTGAAATATTAGAAGCCCAAGAAGCAAAAATTTGAGAATAAGCTAGCAAGTTGTGACAGCTGCACTAGACCATGGTACTGTCCTGATTCAACAATAATCCTACTATCCCTTTTGAACTTTATTGTAGTTTTTTTCATCTTATTTGCTAATACATCAATGCTTACATAAAAACGGGGTTAAAATCCAGGTTTTCCAATATAGAAACGTGTCTTCTATTTAAGACGTTTTCCGTTTCTAAAATAAGCAGAACTAAGAACACTTTATGCTGGAAATCATAAAGTTATACCATCGTAAAGAATCGTAAATAAATTTAAAAGCATGATGAAAAGGAATAAAGTGAGAAAAATGACAGACAATGTAGTAATGGATTCTTGATATCCCGCATCCTAACACTGCATCAATAGAGCCAACCTTAGATAAATTTGCAGCAAAAGGAATCAAACAGTTGATAATTGCAGCAACAGAGTAACCTTTAGTCCTTACCAAAGATGGGATTATTTGAATTAAGTTGACAAAAGAAAGTTAAATCTCTAAATGCTTGCTGAGGCTACCAATCCTCATTGCTGCTTGTATTAGCCTCTAGTGCAATCTCACTTAAGAGACTGATCAATTTCCTCTTCTCATGACATCGGTAAAGAACTTTTTTTTATGACGAGCACCCGTTAGTTACAAGTATTGGTTTGAGTTACTAGCCAAAGCGGAACGCAGAACTTGCAATCTTACTGTTCTTTCCGGGGCCAAACCACACAGTCGGACTACCAGGGCAGGTTATATAAACATTAGCTTTAGCTGGCTTTAGTCTGGTGATACCGCGCTGGGCAAAGGCGTGAATTAACAATGCTATTAACCCAATCATTTTGTTGGGGTTAGTTTTTGTCATGTAAAAGAAAGTCCCTTCTTGCCTCGGTCCAAATCACACTAGAGTACGCTATTATTAGTCCATTCCACCAAGAAGAAAACACTCCTTAAACCAGAGGCTAGCAGCATTGGTAAGATCTCTCTCTCTCTCTCTCTCTCTCTCTAATGTTATGTTACTGAACTAGAGGTGAAGCCAAACTACTTCCAACACGACAGAAGGCTATGGCTCAACAGGTACATGTTTGTCTCTCTCTCAATGGTATTATTTTGTAGTTGCTTCATATAATTCGTGTGGGTATTATGAGCTTTTTTGAATATTGATTGCATGTGTTGATTTAACAGGAGGATGGGTGGCCTCTTGGGCTGCAACCATTGAGCGTGAGAGTTGGGTTGTTAAGACATCGGGATCGTAATGGGTCAGTTTCCTTCAAAACTTTGCTCACTGGTTCTCCCAGCTTCTCCACTGATTTTTATTCCTCCGATCTTGATACAGAGGTCAGATTGTATCTATGTCTATATCCATCTTTTTTATGTGCGAATGAATTGATAAAAGCATCTAAAACATTCAAAATGTTGTTCAAAATATCTCGAAATATTTTGAAATATAAAAAATTTGGTAATCACTAATTCATTTTGATTAGCATTAAAACGAAACGTTTTCTTTGTTTCGATCATTTTGAAACGAAATTTTGATCCATGATTAATAGTCATTCTTACAAGGGTGAACATTTGCAATTTAGGACACCCCACCCCCAGGGGGATGCCAAACTGTTTTTTTTCGATGAACATGCTGAATTATCATGACAAGACCCATTGATTTTTCCTGGTTTATAAGTACAAATTATCAGCAAAGTTCTTTCTTTTCCTGATTTGCCTATTGGTGATGGCATTAAAAATCGAGCTAACAGTAACCATTTCTCTGTAAAAGTTGGCATCTATTATCTGTTCTTGCAGTTTTTCATGTTGGTTTTTTTTTTGGGGGTCTTTTTTAAGCCAGACTGGGTCATACTTATTAAAAGTTTAAAGTTTAAAGCACTTAACTCTTTTCACATGGTTTTGAATGATGGTGTTTGAGCCTTGATTGCCCAGTTCCATTCACTAATCACTACTCATGAGACCTTGTTAAAAATGCCATTACTTTTCCATGACAAAAATTGTTGGAATATTTGGCTAAAATCCTTTGATATTAATTAAGCCACGGTTGGTAGTCAAATCCGGAATATATAAAACTCTAATCCGTTGGTCAAATATTGTATAATTCATGACATGTCATATATACATTTTTTTGTGAAATTATTATGTATTAAATATTATTTTATAATGATGCATGCATACATATATATTAGCTTGATATAATTTGAAATTTGGGTTGGATTTTTTTTTAGTCAATATGGTTGACTTGACTAGAGAGACTCATCAAGTAATGAAAGACTAGTCAATCCTACTTGGAGTATAATTAGCCTTTTTTGACTTCAAAATGTTGAGAAAATATTAGTGGAGTTGAGAAAATATTTAGGAGTTGAGGAAATTATGCTGAGTGATAACGGCTAGCTGATATATCCTCCCTTATAAATAAGATTCTTTTTATACAGAGAGAATACATTAAAAAAACATCTAATTTGTGAAAAAACTCATTGAGAGAAAATTTCAACTCTACTGTTTTTATATTAAAGAGAATTTTTAATTCTTAGATGTTAGCTCCTCATCTATTAAATTTATTAAGTTCTATTTTGCAAATTTCCTACAAAAATAAGGAACAATTTGGGTAGACATCAGTCATTGATGTATAAATCCAATCTTTTTAATTACTTATTGTTACAACGTGTTTTAAAAGTGTGCGGGTAGACCGACATATTATACAATGTAAGTTTAGAAAAACACAACATACAAGTATACATTGAACTTTGAACATACATATTTATTATCAACAGTTCAGATACACAGTGCTGGCCTCAACTTCCACCCCCCCCCCCCCCCCCCCCCCCAAAAAAAAAAAAAAGTAGATGTGCTCCACATAGAAAGTATATGTTAATCACTTCACATAATGCAACTTAGATAAGGGGTGAACTAGGCTAGTCACTGTTACGTTGATGTTAATTTTTGATAGATACAGTTGCTTTTTCTCTCATGCCCTCCACCTGTTTCAGTCCACTGGTTCTTTCTTCCCATGACAAGAGCATTACTCTCGGAAGCCTTATAGGCATTTCTAGCATTCTTGAATTGTCACAAAGATCAATAAGGAGAAGAACAGCTGAAACCTTTAGAAGCAAGAAGAGTAGCAAATCCACTTGGTTATTCTCACTATGCTCAAAGCTCCGCACTGATGCTGTGAGCATGAGCAACACTCCATCTCTCGGTCACTTTCTTGGGGCTGAGAGGAAAGCTTCCACCAATTACAGGAGAAATCAAAGTCAGAACACTCATGTACCAGATGATTTCTCGGATCTGGTCCCTATTTCAGAGTCTAGCTCGCTGCTCATCAGTGGCCAGATTGCTTCTCCTCAGTCAATTACTTGGTTTCGTTCGGAAGGTGAAAGAAGATCAAACAGTGGCTTACTTGAGCATGGTCAGGAGCATGGAGCTCCACTTCTTTTCTCATGTTTCTGTGGACAACTTGCTCACTAAATGATCATTTCCCATTGTTGAATCTATTTCTAAGGTCTTCTCCTGTGGGAATTTGGTTTCATGTCCTTGAATCAACTTTCTAATTGCTCTGTTTTTAGAGGACACTGCTCTCTCACAAGGGATGGCAGACGACTTGGCGGTGATGGGGACGGGGGAGGGAGAGGATTGTCCACCCCGTACCCATTTCAAAAAAAAGAAAATGCTATTTGCACATAATTTGGAGGCCTAATTTAGAGATCTAATTCAATACAACCATTAAATTGATTGTGAGCTCCATTTAATATTGAAACTCACAACTAATCAAATTGTTGCATTGAAGTCACATTATTAGGTTCCCAAAATAAGGTCCCTATAACATTGTTCTTTAAAAAATATTTGTCCACTCTGATCCTCCCTCTTTAGTAGGGAAAATTTTTTAATCCCCGCCATGTGGATAAATTTTGATCTCAGCCCCGCCCATAACAAAAAAAAGATAAAAACTCATTATATAACAAATGAATCATACATAAAAATTCACAAAAATAATATGTATAACAAATATATATATATACTTTTATTTATTTATTTTTACTTGGTTGCTTAGGAGTGGATCATGAGGCCAATAACAACTAAAAAAGCGTACTCCGTTCACGAGATTTCTACTGTGACCTTGCACATAAAGATACTATTTTCGCGATTCGAACATGTGACCTTATGTTTGGGAAAATAAGAAAAAAAAATCTTCTTTTTTCTTGTTATTAACAAACCAGTTTGTCCAAGGTCAAAAGCAATATTGGTAGTGTATCTAGGCCTATCAATGGATCAAATTTTTATTCGAATCCGATCTCAATCTAAATCTAAATATGAATCCAAATCCAATTAGGCAGATATAGATTAATATTTTTTATCGACAATCTAAACCTGAATCTAAATCAGACAACTTATATTTCACTGATTTGGATTTGAATGTACATATATTCGATCCGATCCAAATTATTTATATATCCTTATATAAATATTAAAGAAATTAAATGATTATTTAAAAAAATTAGTTGAAATTTAAGTATAATTTGTTAATATTTAATTTATTAAGTAATTTTAATTGGATCAAATTTGTTGATAGGCCTAAGGGTGTGTTTGTTAATCCAAATTTAGCACTTAAAATAAATATATTCGACACTTATTAATTAAGCATGTTTGATAACTAAAATTTAAACTCTCTTAATATGTTAAGTACTCCTTAAAAATATACTACTTTATTAAATAAGCGATTTTTTACTTAATTCTTAAAACTGAAAACGCTCAGCAAAATTCTCGTTAATAATATTTAACATATGACAATTATAACTTGAAATATTTTACATTTCTATTAAAACTTTAATTAGTTTTCTCTCCAAAACCCCTAACCCATCTATCATCCTTGCCGATTGTCTTCTTCAACGACAAGTAAATCTTTTTTAACCGTCAACTTCCATTGTCGTCTTCTTCTTCTTTTTCTTCGTTTTTATTCTCTTGTCAATTTCATTCCTATTAAACCCACGTATACACCCACACACAATTTTGCATGTAGACACACGACTTGCACACACACACACACATACACACATTCTTAATAATTTAATTTAATTTAATTTATTTTTTTAATTCGATTATTTATTTTGTTGTTCAATTTATTATTGTTCATTTATTGTTATTCGATTATTTATTATTTATTATTGTTTTTATCAAATGTTATTGTTCACTTATTAATTATTTATTAGTTATTATTTTTTTAATTAGATATTATTATTTACTTCCTGTGCATATTTTATAAATATTTTTAAATTAAAGAGTAGAAGGATAAAATTAAAAATTAACTTATTTTTAAAGGTCAGTTCTATGTAATTATAAAATAGTTTGGTTTAATTTAATACTTAAATTTCAGTGAGTACCAAACAATCAACAAATTTAGCTTTCAGACTTCAGTTTTCAATTTTCAGACTTGAGCTTTCAGTTTTATCAAACACCACCTAAGTGTATCCCCTAATTAAGAAACCAAGGGTTCTCTAATTAACTAACAAATATAAACTAGAAATGTCCGGGTGACTTTTGGGTAACCCAATTCCAGTCGAGTCTTCAGTATGCTGCTTATAAATAGTGAATTTGTTCTTATGACAAGTGTTCATCTGTCTAAACGATACATTGCAAATTCAAATTCCAGAATTAGTCCTCCAAAACGAAAGTAAGCCTGTTCAAGTAATTTTCCAATACCCACAACCCTAAACGAGATCATATCTTTATCTGTTGGCTATGCTATACAAACAACCATCTAAATCAACTCTACTCATCTTGGTTTCTACAATGAGGCGAGATCAAACCACATTAAAACCAATTTGCAATCTGCCAAAATACATTGTTTAATTACTGAAGCAATGACTCTGCAGCTTGTGCAATGCTACAAACAAACCTGCACCTTTGCTGTCAACAAAGAAACTATAATGAAAGCCTGTAGGTCTCCATACAGAGGACACTAGATATAGTTTTGAAATAGAAACATTATAATCATCCTCAATGGCTGAGCAGCAATTACAACAGCTTGCATATATAAGAAAGGAAATATCAGTGATAGTGTCCAGATATAGCAGGACACCCCTTTCCTCAACCCCCCTCCCCCCGGCGCTTCTTGAAACTTTATTGAAGCAGATCTCCATTACAAAAACCTACCAGACCAACCCATCAACCCAAGCTCTCAAAACTATGTTTTACCTTCATACTTCTCTCTTGCTGTTAAAAGGAATTTGAAATACATACCCAGCAGGTTTAGGTTCCAAAAGAATTCTAGACTGCCTTGTGGCTCCATTTACCAACTTTTCAAGGCTTATCGACCCCCTCAACTTTCCCTGAACTACGACCGCCCATCTTAAATGAGCCCATGGCTGACAAACCCTTGAAGCTGCTGCTACCTTCACTGTAATTGAAAGACTTCCTTGATCTCCTTGGCTTTGAGGGACTGAATTCCACATTCATAACAGTGTTGGTTTTGACCTTGGACAAAACTAGTTGGGTAATACTGCTTCGGCAGAACGGGCAAACTGGGACCTTCTGACATGAAGTTGCAGGGTTGGGTTTGCTGTGGCAACACAATGCTAGGGTACAATGGGCACACATCTGGTGACCACATTTTTGAATCTCAATTCTGCAGACTTGTTCGAAGCAGATGCAGCATAGCTCAACATCGCTGGCCTGCTCGGAAAAAAAGTTTCTCCCAGTTAGAAAACAATGCATATGCACGCATTAACATCAGGAATCAGGGTAGATGCATAGCTTTTATCTCCCCTAACATTTCTTTGGTTTATTATCAAAAGAACTTTGTTTTATGCTTGGCGACTCTTTTTAGCAAGAGGCATAATCCGAGGGTGGTACAAAAAGCAAAAGCTTTCATAGTACATTGGCATCTTTGTATGCAAGATGCATGTCTCAGCTCTAAAAAAAGTGGTGCAAATGATTCCAAAATTTTACAACACTTTTCAGTGACATAGCAGAGAAAATGACTTAGAATAGAGGAGTGCAGTTTGATCTTTTTCTCAGCATCCAAAAAATAGTTATTTAAATTACTGGCAAATATTACAAAGGTCAAGTGTATGACACACTATAGTGTAATTAACTGGTTTGCTTCGTTGCCAAGACTAAAGTGTAATTAACTCATTTTTTATGCTCTTTTGATATGTGACAGATAGTAAATAATACTTAAAAAGCATTCACGTGTCTTCAACGTCATATCAATTTTTGTTGATATATTTAATTGTATGCAAATTCCAAAGAAGGTAAAGATTAAAATAGAAAATTATACATTTTGTATGGCATATAGAAGTATCCACATATTATATGTACCATCATATACGTTTGATACATATCCAATACGTATCTAACAAGTATCATATCCGATACGGTATCTAATATGGATATATCAACCCTAACTGAGTATCCGTCTTCGTTACTTTTATCCATCTTAAGGAAATTGCATTGTTTGAACCAAAGGCCTTATTAGACATAATATAGAACATGAAATTCACAGTAGCAATATTTAAAGATTAGATACTACAATAAAAGTTCCAAATAATCCTTTCACACTATTATACGTAGTTTGTGATGGGAATCAAAACTTCAGGGCAGGGGTTATTACCTCAGAGTCATCATCGCACACCCCAGTATCAGAATGCAGAGGTGATGAAGGTATGTAGACTGTATCCTTCAAAATTGCCTTCTCCCTCTCCTTGTTTGCTTCAATCAAAGCCTGCTCTAATAGGGCTTTTGCCTCTGGATTAAGCTCGGCGATGAACTTCAAAGGTGATGGCCAGATCAGAGGCTCGGGAGATGAAGGGTTTAACAAGGCTGCACATGCTTCATGCTTGTACTTCAGGGCAACCATGTATGGTATTCTCCTATGTAATGGTAGATTTCACAAACAAGGTAAGGACTCTGGCCATCAGGTAGTAAGACCTCTAACAACATCAGAAAGACTATGAACAAACAACTGCAGGGTATAGATACAGTGATGCTATGTCACCAAAAGGGCAGAAAAATACCAAGTTACACAGGGAGACCTATAACTACTTACGGTTGGCTAGACAAATCCGTTTTCAGCTTTCTATTCCACACCAAATCTCAAACCCACAATTTTTTTACCCTTCATTTCATCCTAAGCAATTTCAATTTGCAACAGATCACTCTTTTGTCACAGTTGTAATTGATCTTAGAACAAAGGTACAAACAACACTCAAAATATGTGGAATTTCCCAAAAGCAGCTCTTTGTGATGGATGGTCAAAGGGGTGTACATTCTATAACTTTCATTTCCTGTTGAGTCATAATAAATGTTGATTTCATTCATTCATTCATTGATAGCGTTTAATAGTAAACACCATATAATCTCAACGTTTATATGTCCAAAGTTCAAAAAAATTCTACATCAGAGCACATCCTATCTAAAATTTCATAGAGGCTCACCCAGAGGAATCTCTTTGAAGTCGATCTGCCCCCCAAGCAAGTAATTCCCGGACACAGTCCAAAGAACCCCCACGAGCTGCCATATGAAGTGGAGTACTCCCTAGGTATCTGCAAATGGAACTTCATCATTCGACTGCTATGTTGTCAATACAACTACAATGCACCTAAAAACTTGAATACTATGATTACCCATATCCGCTGGTAGAAACACAAACAAGAGCCCCACTGTCTAATAGAATGCGTACGCACCCTGGCCGCCGTTGAGATGCTGCTAAGTGCAGGGGGGTTGCACCAGTTCCATCTCTAATGTTCACAAATCTGGCAAATCCCCTTATATCCAATCCAAACCAAACCAAAGACTTAGCAAATTGATTCATACATAGCTGACTTCATATAAATTCACAAGAGATGAATTATAGAGGTAGAAAGAGAGTCACCAAGACTGTGCAACAGGGGTGGAATGGGCTGCAGAAAGAATTGCTTGGAGGCAATCTGACTGGCCATAGTAAGCAGCATAATGCAAACAGGTTCTTCCATTTAGAGCGTCAAACATCAAAATCTAAAAAAAAATAAAATCAAAACACTACCTCTTATAAAAGAAAGTGACAAGAAAACACAAACATGAGAAATAAATGGGAAGAAGCTGATGATTAGAGAGAAAAATACATTTGCTCCTGCTTGAATTAGACGTTCTACGCAGGCAATCTTCCCATTCATTGCAGCCAACATCAATGGGGTCTAATCCAATCACAAAACAAATGAAACCAATGTACAACACAGAATATCCACTAAAATACAAAATCAAAAACATTGATCAGACATGCGAACATAAATATACATATTACCTGTTTATGGCGGTTTAAGATATCTGTATTGATAGACCGATCCAAAAGCATTGAAAGAACCTACCCATCAACGAAATCAAGAATCAAATGCAAAACCCAGAAAAATCCATTAAACAAAATCCCAAGAAAACAATGCCCAGAAAACAGAAAAATAAAAAATCCACGAAGATCAAACACAACACCCCACCTCGATCCGACCATGTGCAGCTGCCATGTGAAGGGCAGAGAGCTTCCCACGAACAGTTCTCCATCCCAACACATTTGGCTCATCCTCTAGCATAGCTTCAACAATTTCCAACTCTCCATTCTGGACTGCGATGAATAAACCATGCTCATTAGTTTCTCTGCAACTCAGTCCCTGACCCATCCCCTCTTTGATCTGTCCTCACAGAACTAGGACCGATCGTCTGTCACGCGCCACCTTCCACGGCCGGATGGTTGTGGTGGTGGAAGGTGGCACAGAGTATTGTAAGTGAGGGAGACCAATGGTAGTCTAAAGTATTCGAGTAGCCTCGTAGTTTGGATCCTGCCCGCCGTGATTTCGGTCATCTGAACTGTTTGCGTTTGGTGAATTTTTGGGCAGCTGTCAGATAATTTTTGGGCAAATTCAGGTTTAGATTCTTTGGATACATCTCTTGAGGTAATTTTAACGTTATCTCTTTGACAAAAATAAGACTATTGTACGTACGTCAAGAGTCTCTTTGTCCAAACGAGTTTCCAACATATAATATGTTGATCTTTCAACGCGTTTTTGGAGAGATGTTAGGGCCGTTAATGTTCACACTTCTTCTTCTCGGCCGTTGGATGGATTTGCCATGGAAATTTAGATGTAAACCTCGTAAAGCAGAAAAGAATAAGGAAAATGCTAGTTACATTTAATTTAATTTGCAGATTTAATTTGTTTGCTTAATTTAATATATTTATTAAATTAATAATAATTTTTAATAAATATCAAGATAGATTGTTAATCTAATAATTGTGATATATTAAGTCAACAAATAAAGTTAAGTTCACATAACTTTGTTTTTAGAAAAATTGTGATATAAGTATTATTAGATTGATTAAAAATCCAAACTAAAAAAAAAAAGGAATTAAATGATGCAACATTAATGTTACAGGATTCTCACCAAAAAAAAATGTTATAGGATTTTTAATCTTATTTTTATTATTTTAAAATATAAATTTTATTTATTATGGTAATATCACATCATTTAGTCTATCTTTTTTAAAAGTTTAATGTTACCCATAATTTGATTAATTACTTGATTTATTATAAATGATATTTGGTAAAATACTGATGAGACTTTAGGCGGCTCAACTGTTCCCGAATTGACACATGGTAAGATAAAGCCATTATGGAAGTCAAAAGGTGTTGAGAGATGGCACCGAAGAGTAATGGCTCAAAGGAATTGAGGATACAGATGCACCAACATTTAAGGAGAAATGACAGTTCATTAATGAGGATTTGAGTGACTATGACAGGGTTATTAATGAGTCTCTGCATTCTCGAGGCCCAAACTAACAGTCATAATTACGAAGCATTAATGATCATTGGACCATCCAGATGTCCTTGGGGAACCTCGAGGTACTGTTCCTTGGGCATTAAACACTCAGAAGTAGGTATCAAGCACCGATCAAATGGACTTAAATGACCAGGGGTAGGATCATAAGTGTTCGGCATGGCCTGAGCAGTCGACTTATCGCTCGAGTGACCCTATCACGAAAATCTGAGTGGAGATCACTCATTACGCATGAATAATAGTGCAAGTCATTAAATGTTGAGATGAGACTCCAAACACTTGCATTCATTACTAATCCAAGTGTACTCCTCAGAAATATAAACAAATGTATGCAAACTAAACTGAGAAAAAAAAAACATTGTATTCAAGCCTCCAAAACGCCTACTGACTTAAGCTTCGAAGGGAATAAGTCGGGTGTTCACCCGGTCCCTTTTCTAACATTTTGGTTGTTTCAGGGTCATCATCTAAGAGGATCGCTATTTCTATTCATTACAAGAAATCTCTCGTGCAAATACATAGAATTTAATACCATGTCTTGCCAGTAAGAACAAGTACAGAAAATTGGTTCAATAGGCAAAATTATATGTGAGAGTGACCGTTAATTTTTTTCAAAAACATATAAGAAGATGAACCTACATAATTTTAAGTGGGAAAATTTGTATGAGTGTGAGTGAGTGATAGATTTGCAGGTGCGAAGTTGAATGGCTTCTTCCTGTTGTAGAGAAATGATAACTATGAAAGATAAAATAATCAACAGAATTCAATGGTTCATCAAGTTAAAGAGTTTGATTAATTCACTTTAATGGAGTCTTTTATTCCTTGGTTTTTATTACTCGGAGAAGAAGATTGGTATAATGGGATTCAATAATAATTCCTACATAGGATATTCCCTCCTATTTATTCAGGGACTAACTTTTGTCTTTATTTAAGATTGTGTGGTCTCCTCAATCGATTATTTTGTCGTTAGAAGACATCTGACACTTTTCCACGTGTCCTTCTATAAAACGATGAGGTGTCATCTTATAAGCGATATCTTTGTGCCCAAGGTCGGGCTGGCTTGTTGGGCCTAGCTCCTCCTCTTGGGGCATGTTTGTTTCAAGGATTAGATGGTATTATAGGATGAGATAAAAGGAAATAGTACGTGGAGCCCATTTTAGGCTTCGTCGATTACTGCTTGCAATCCCTGATCCAATCACAGATCAATGTACTGACCATAAGTGAAAGTTTTTGAAGGTATTCTGAATTTTTTTAAGTATATCCACATTTGAGTTGTCACGTCACGTAATATGTAGTTAGCGAAATATCAGTTAATAATATGTTTAATTTCCTATTGCATAGAATTGTGTTGGGGCTTTAGATAGCACTCACATTAGAGCAAAAGTGTCACTTGTGCACCAAGCAAGACATGAGACAAGGAAGGGCAAATTGCAACAAATGTGTTAGGTATGTGCACTTGACATGAGAATCATTTATGTTTTGCCTAGTTGGGAGGGATCGACAGCAGATTCAAGAGTTTTTCGTGACGCATTTACGAGACGTACTAGATTACGTGTTCAACGGGGTAAGCTATAGTGTAAATTTTTAGCATTAGTCCTTTTTTTTTTTGGAAATTGTTTACTAATTGGTGTATACACAATTACAACAAGCACATATTATTTAAGTGATGTTGGGTATACCAATAGTAAGGGTTTCTTAACTCATTTTAGAGGTTAACGATATCATCTTGACGAATTTGGAAGTGGAAAGGCAACTTCTCGTAATGTTAAGGAATATTTTAAGCTAAAACATTCCTCTGCAGGAATGTTATTGAGAGGTGTTTTGCTCTCTTCAAGATGCGATGGGCAATCCTTTGAACTGCCTGTTCTACCTAGTCTCCACACATAACAGAATTATTGCTGCTTATTTTTTGTTACATAATTTCATTAGAAATGAGATGTCAGTTGACCCATTGGAAGACCACATACCTGAGTATGTTCTCAATGAGAACGAAGAAAATACCAACACTAATATAGTTGACAGTGTTGAGACCTCTACTGCGTGGACTACTTAGAGGACTCAGTTGACGAATGAAATGTACGAGGCATGGCAGATGGGTAGATGAATTTGGGGGGGAGGTGGCTATTTTGCAACCTTCAATTAGTAGACTAAATGGCTGATATGTTTGTAATGTGTTATTGATACTTCATCTAGTTGATTAATGGTTGTCCTGAATGTTATGTAATACAATTTATTTTGTGATGTTATTATGCAATATATTCTACATTTGTCGTATTGTAATTGAGATTACATTGCATATTCGCTTTAGACTGATAAATCCATATGTGTGTGTGTGTGTGTGTATATATATATATATATAGACACTCACACATAGAATATGATTAGTGTTGGCAACTCGCATGTTATGAGTGGTATTCAAGTGAAAAAAAGTACCAAGCGAATATGGACAAGTGCGGAAGAGACACAACTATTATACGCACTGAATGATCTATGTGCAGTAGGGTTGAAGTGTCCTAATGGTACATTCAGGTCAGGTTATCTGTAGATGCTAGAACAAAGAATTGGCAGCAGTATGCTTCGTGCACAACCACACATTGAATCAAAGATAAAAATATGAAAGAGGCAGTATAATTGTATACTATCTATGATGAATACGAGTGGTTTCGGGTTTAATGACACTGATAAAAAAATCGAGGTTGATTATGATAATGTGTTGGGAGGAGTATTTAAAGATAATTTGGTCTAATATACCACTTTTTAATTAATAGAGGTATTTTGTTATTTTTAGTACTCCACTTATTCGAGACATGTTCTTTTGTGGTATAATTACTGTAGAAGGATAAGTAGGCTAAGGGGATGCGTGAAAAATGTTGGTCATACTACAAAGATTGGGGAATTATTTTTTGCAAGGATCACGCAACAGGAGAATTTGCAAAGGATCTTGATGAAATGATTGGAGGGAACGACAATGAGAATGCAGACCATGAAGTTGACCCCATAGGCATTAACACTGAAAATAAGACAAATGGCGTAAGTCGTAATACAACTCAATGCATGGATGTTTCCACTAACACCCCCATTACCAGAAAAACGAAGAAGAGAAAGGCTTCAACAGCTGCCGAGATCATTGCAGGTAGCTTGGGTGATATGACAAAGGTCTTAGGTGCTTATGTTGCTACTTGTGGTTGTAAACTCGATAATATTGCACATAGGGTAGGCCATGCCCAAGATGTTTCTGAATCGAGGAAATAATCTTTGTTGAGCTTGAGAAAATTGGGTGGCTTGATGAGGATCTACTCTATGAGGCTAGTTATAGAATTGTCTCTGATCCGATTAAGGTGGACTTGTTTTTTAGCTTGTCTGACGCTTCAAAGTCGTCTTGGGTAAGGAAGTTTTTGTACGAATCAAGCCACCAACAGGTGTAGGGTTAAGTATGTTACTTTTTTTTTGACATGATATATGTGAAATTAGGCGTATAGACCTTATAAAGTGACATGGTATACTGTCCACTTTTTTTTCTTGTTCACCTATGTCCGTATGTAAAATATGGTTAAGTACGTTTGGGTGTTATTTCTTATGAAGTTTGAACAACTTAGTCGTTCTTGCATAATGACATGATGTTTATGAACACTTGCTTTTTATATTGGTATGCACTTGCCTAGATATTTACTAACATGTGTTTAGTTAGACAAGTGATGCACAGGAGAACATGTTTTTACGTCGTGTTTGTTAGAAGACAAGTTGGTGTCTATACGACATGACAAGAATGTCATGTGCAAGTGAATAGTTACCCGAGCGCGTTGTACAAGTCTTATGATTTGTACAACGAGACTAAAAATGCATTGTGCACGTACATTGAGAATGAAGATATAGTAAGAAATGTCCAACATGAATGTGAAACGGCTGTCCATCAAAAACAACCTCTGGATATTCTTTGTGTAGAAGATGCAATGGACATTCCTTTAGTAGGTGTGATGACGAGGGCGAGGGAAACCGTAATGTCGGTAGCTATCTCATGTATGTTGTGATGTTTGTTTTGGGTATAGTACTAATCCATACTCTTTACTTTTTTCTAGGTAGACTTTCTTAAACTATGTTTGTATTTTGTTTGGCACCTTTTGGACAATCTTTATGGTTAGTGTTTGTAATGTTACCTCCTATGTTTTGACATTAACTGGGGAATGTATGAATATGAGTAACATTATGAATGGATTTCTGCTGTAATTGATTTTTGTGTTATGATATAATTGAATTGTTTAATGAATTTGTAAAAATTGGTGATGTGTCAATGGGTTGTGCATTTGGTTTGTACAATATTATGTAGAAAATGTCGGTTCCTCAAATTAGTGATGCGGAAAGTGAAGTGTTGATGACGTTGTTGCTTAGAAACAAACAATGGGGCATAGTGCCTAAACATGGCAGCATGACAACCGAATACTTTAGGGATGTATTACTGCGGGGGAAAAGGAGATTGCCTACAGTTTGCATTGATCAAATTGACCTTGTCAAGATTACTTTTTTTTTGGAAGAAGCAATACTTCACTATCAAGGATATGTTGAAGATGAGGATGTTTGCTTGGGACTCGGCTGACTCGTGCGTCGTTGATGGGCTGATCGCAGGAGCGCGTGACTACCTAGTGGTAAGTGTTTAATTCAAAACTATATTAATGAATATCATCTTATGTCTCTTTGTTTAATTTGTTTTCACATTCGCTTGAATTCTTGATGTGTTTAAGAGTAATTAACTTGCAAGCAAACAAGTTTGCAAGACACATTGCATTGATCCATGTCCTTTGTTCGAGAAAATGATAGAAGTTTTCGACAAGGTGTCACCGGAAGAGCTGATTGAAAGTGTGGGCTCTTGTTTGCATGGTGATCCAGCAGAAGACATAGAGATTATCGATGTTTCTGATTAAGCTTAGTCCCTGTCAGAGTATGACTGTATGTAAAATATGTTTTCCACATGCTATTTTGATTTTTGGGTATGAATGCGTGTGGTAGTAGTTGTTGTTCAAGAGTCCTGGGGAGCTTCATTTTTTGAGAATCCCCTTAGCCTATTTATATTATGTATGTAAAAAAGCTTACAGTGGATGTTTTAAAAGTACTTGTGGAGCCAGCTGTTATGGATATTTGGTGGCTCTTAGCTCCTTGCACTGATATCTTATATTTAGTGGCAGTTGATGTGCTTGATGCAGTATATAGTTTTAATGGTGAAAAAAGTTTCATGGTGTATTTATTGCTTTTCTAACACTTTTTGTTTGTTTTCTTTTGACTTGTTCACCTCTCAAAATTCCACAGAAGTAAACAAGAAAACAACCTAGGAACAACCTAGGTTTACTTTATATTATTATTCTCTGGTCAATTCGTGACAGCTCCAAAGACAATGCCGAAAGAAGAAACATAAAAGAAACTCTTATCATGCATGTGTTACTTAATTTCTTTTGACAAAATATTAATGCTTTCCATGATTTGATTTAGGCTTTGGCCTATTATGATGATGGAGGTATAGTAAGTTTTCTCAAGATTCGGTGGAAGAGTTTTACCAATCCGACTAGTGGGGACTATTGAGCTAGTTAAAAAAAAAGAGAGCCTTCATGAACAGTTATATTCTTTAGTGAAAGGACAAGTATTTCAATTCAACAATTAATATTAAAATCAGGGAATAAATTCGAGTCGCAAGGTAATTGTTGAGAAGCCATAGGTTTAATAAACCAGTTACTAAAATTGCTCAATTTTGACATTCTATACCACTTTTAGGCATGTTATGTTAAACTAGGGGTGTAATTTGAGCGGACCAACGTGAATTCAATCCAAGTCCAATCCAAAAAATACAGGACTTGGGTTATAATTTTTAATACTTGAGTTGGGAATGGACAAAAAAATCTCAACTCGAATTGAATTCAGGTAGGTCTCGGGTTGAACTGGATTATTAAATCGGGTTGAACTTGAATGTACATAAACATAAAAATATATTTAACTAAAGTTAGTATTTATCTTCACTGTTCGGAGTTTAGACTTTCATTTCGCTTCAAGTCTTCACTCATGCGCCACTATCACTCTCAGATCCCTCTCTCACTCGTTGCTTATCTCTTATCTGGTCTTAGACTCTTAACCTTCCTCTTCTCCCTCATCTGAGTCTCGTCTAAGACTCTCAGCCTCCCTTTCTCACTCATTACTCTTCCATCTTTTATCAACCCGAATTAAGTAACCTGAGCCTAATTTGATTTTTAACTCGAATTCAACCTAAGCCCGCACGAATTAAACTCAGGCAATACTTGAGTTAAGTACTTCGGGTTGAGGTACGATTAATGTTATGGTTAGAGTTGAATATTATATACCTAGGGTTGATCTCTCAACCCGCCCGAGTTGCACCTCTATGCTAAAACAACTATCTATTATAAAAACTTAAGCTATTAGAAAAGAATATAACTTAAATATTTATATTTCAATACATTCCCTTACGTACAAGCTAGATTTTAAGCCTAACACATGAAATTTTTTTTAATAATTAGGGTGGTGACGAGATTCGAACACAAGACCTCCTATTTTGATACCACATCTACTTCAAAAACTTAAATGATTGAAAAGAGAGTGAAACTTAAGTATGTATTTTAACATGTCATGCTCATATATATTTTTTTCCTAGAATTTAGATAATGGCCCAATAAAAAAAATTGATATTACTATGAAACTCAAAACACTCACAAGAACATACAAAATATGCTCACAATGGTTAAAGTACTAGACCAATAATGGGTCATAGTAATGATCCAAGTTTTACATCTGGACAGCAAAAATCAACAAAGTTCAGTGAATTGGGCCAGATGCAACAGCTACCAAACAGCCCATACTACTCAAAGGAAACTCTACCCATTGGGCCAAGCACATAATAAGATTATGGAACAAGTATGAAGCAGAACCAGGGGCACCTAAATAGAATTGGCCCCTAAGGAAAAGTTTGGAACCACACCCTTTTACAATATATTATGAATATGTATAATAATACTCTAGTTTTATGTAAAAATTATTCTTCTTATTTTTTTAATGTAAAATTACTAATTAAATTTTTATATTTAATGTTTGCTAATATATCACTTTCAATAGATATTATAGTTAATCCATTTAATTTTTTTGTGACATAATTGGTTGTAAATAAAAAATTTTTAATTTTAATTTTAAAATTTTTTTTTCTATACAAACAACTGTAATAGGTATTATCAACAAAATTTTATGAACGATACTTGTATTTGGGGATGAATCTAACTATTGGTATGGATTGACAATAAGGAAGAGAGAGAGAGTAGTGGCTTGAGAGGAGTTCACCATTAGTTGTAGAATTTTGGAAGGAGTGAGGGATAAAGAGTTAGCTTGGAATTTTTATTTTTGAATGGGTTTGGCCTAAATTTAACAAACGGAGGAAACTATTTCTCATAAATACCTTAATTAAGGTATACGTAAATTGGTCTGGACACATCTAACTATTAAACCGAAAAAAAAAAACACGTATGAAGCAGAAACTAGGGGCTGAATTTTCTTGGCCCAGAAACCCATTGCAGAAAATCTGCCCCAGGATCCGGCCAAATTCTCGGGTCATGGTGCTCCTATGTCATTGGCCAAATCAAGGGAGGTCATCGAGGCTTTTAAGTGAGCCAAGCTAGTTGATATCGACTCCTACCTCGTTCATTTAAAAGTTCGCTAGAAATCAACTAATGAGATAAAATCAACTAATGAGATAAATGGACTAAGATTTAGCACACGATATAACTCATGAAATTAGTATGTTAGAATCGAGAATCGAGTTAAGCCTATTTTAACTTCAAGTTCATTGGTGATTGGTACTATAAATAGAAGGCCAAGTTAATTGATTTGCATTGTGATGAGTTCCACTAAAAACTAACTCGAAACCAATTTGAAACTATTAAAAATTAGAAAACCAAGTATATGTAACTTTCATCTCAACTCGACTTAACTAATCCTAAAAATTCCTCCAATAATAGAGGAAAAGACTAAAGAAAAAGCAAGGTGTAACTATTATCATAATGGATGTATTAAACTTATACCTCCTAAACTATCACTTTTTTTTTTTTTAATTTTGCCCTCTCAACTATTAAATTTCTCATATTATATCTTAAATTATGTGATTAGTTTTACATTGCACAAATTATTAACGTATGTTATATATTTAATGAAAAATTATTTCATTTTATCTCCTAAAAATTATATAATTTTTTTCACTTTACCTCAACACATCAACCATTTTTGACTAAAAAGATAACAAACGTAAGTGATTTGGGCGATGTGAAACAAAAGTGTTAGTTTAGGATGTAATGTGAGAAATTTAGTAATTAAGGGGACAAAATAAAAAAAAATGGTGATAGTTTGGAGGTGGGGAGTAAGTGTAATTTAGTCTATTACAATGGTGATAATCACCGTCATAAAAAGTTAGTTTGCCACTACACCGAGTGGGAATCATTAGTACGTAACCTAGTACAACTTGTCCAAGTTCTCTCTAACATGATTGGAAAGCTCCAAGAACAATCCAACCCAAAACCTCACGGTATTTGTGTTAGTGCTTTTCAATATCATTTTCTAACTTTAGAAGATAATCGGGTAGGTACTGTTTCCTCTTTGTATCTTTCAGTTACTGTGTTTTTCTTAGACCTTAAGGCTCAAGACAAACATTTTTGTTCATGCATGATGTAGGAAATATTCCTTCAGTTTTTGGTTTCAATCAGTGTAAGGGGGGTCCGGCAAGAGCCAAGGGTGGGCCACGGACCCAGACAACCGGGCCGTGGACTTGAAAACGAGGTAGACCAGGCTAGCTGATAGAATAAGTGTACGTCCTCCTGTCCATTGGGTCAGTCCCAATGGGTTTTAACGGGCTCCCTATCTACAAAATGTGACAAAATATGACACGATTCGTTAAATAATGTGAACGATATATGAAGTTAAAAGGTTTATGCTTTTTTTAAATCACCCATTTCGTAAGCAAGGAGACATGATATGACACAATTAATAAATAAATCGGGTATGAATGAAGTCAATTAAAAAAAATATATGACACGACTCATTTATATACTTATTACAGACGATTCATACATGACACGAACTCGATCTGACACGACTCGTTAAACACGAATTAATAAACCAAGTAGGTATGAGTGAATTATTTTTTGATACAAATTCACTAAGACTCAATACAAATCCGTTTCACCCGACATGATTGACTGCCGATTCTAATAGATCATATTTTTTCAAAATAATTTTTTTTTTCAAATTTTACCTTTAACTTATTTTGTTAAATTTAGTGGTGCAGGCCACAGGCTTTAACCCACGGGCCACCATCAACCGTTTTAATTGGGCTTAGCAGGTTGAAGAATAGCATTTGTGGCACTTATTCGTGACATAGGCTAAATCAGTAATAAACTCGGAACCTATGATTAAGATTTTCTACAATTAGTGATGACAGTGGTTCAGGACGAGAGTGGGTCGGAGGAATAGTTTCTATCTCCGTATCTATTTTAAAAATATTTGTCAATCCTCTGTCTACCTTCGTTAGCGAAAAAAATTTTAATCTCCATCTTCGCCTCGAGGGTAAATTAAAAAAAAAATCATACAACCTCACAAATGAATTTGTAATATATATATAGTGGGGTGGGGAGGGGTGAGAATGAGTTTCAGTCCATCCACGTCTTTATTCTCGCACGCGTTTATATGAGTATTCTCGTATATGTTCATCATCTAATACGTATAATCCATTCCTGATTCAAACAAGACGGATTTAAATAAATACCTATTTTTCTTCGGTCCACTGCCATCTCTATCTATAATACATTTTTTTTTTTTGGTAGATTAGCAACTATGTATTAGTGGAAGACCTACTTTTATACAATAAATTCCACGTGAACTCACAATA